AGGATGAAGCTGTTTGTCATACAGCGGCTTCCTGAGTGTTTAACTTCGGCCTGGGCCCTGCTAAAGGGGAGCAAGTCTGGAAGAGAGAGGCATGGTCTGGCCTAAAGAAAGCCTGCCCACCTATATTCATTACATTTTCCTTTATTTTTAATCCACTTTATTATTTCAGAAATAACTCAAGGCGGAGAACATACTTAATGCTTCTTCGTTCCTCCTATTTTCCTCACAACAACAGCCCTGTGAGGTGGGTTGGGTGGAAAGAGAAGGAGTGGGCCGAAGTCACCTAGCTGGCTTTCGTGACTAAGGCGGGACTAGAACTACGGTCTCCTGGTCAGTGGTCCAAGGTCGCCCAACCAAGGTTGATGGCTAAGGCGGGGTTAGAACTCACCGTCTCCTGGTGATTGGCCCAAAGTCACCCAGCTGGCTTTCGTGCTTAAGGCGGGACTAGAACTCACCATCTCCCAATTTCTAAGCCAGCACCTTAACTACGTTAAACTGGCTCTACATTAGACCAAATTAAAGTAAGTAAGTAAAAGAAAGAGAGAGAGAGAGAAGGAAGGAAGGAAGGAAGGAAGGGGAAAGAAAGAAAGAAAGAAGAAAGAAAGAAAGAAAGAAAGAAGAAAGAAAGAAAGAAAGAAAGAAAGAAAGAAAGAAAGAAAGAAAGAAAGGTGCCAGTGTTAAAGAAAAGGAAGGAAGGAAGGAAGGAAGGAAGGAGAAAAAAAAAGAAAGAGAAAGAGAAAGAAAGAAAAAAGAAGGAAGGAACGAAGAGAGAGAGAGGAAAGAAAGAAAAAGGAAAAGGAAAGAAAGAAAAGAGAGAGAGAAAAGGAAGGAAGGAAGGAAAGAGAAAAGAAAAAAGAGAAAGAAAAAAGAAGAAAGAAAGAGGAAAGAAATAAAAGTGAGAAAGAAAAGGAAGGAAGGAAGGAAAAGAGAAAGAAAGAAAGAAAAAAGAAGGCATGAAAGAAAGGAAAGAAAGAAAGAAAAAGAAAGGAAGGAAGGAAGGAAGGAGAAAAAAGAGGAAAGAAAGAAAGAGAGAGAAAGAAAAGGAAGGAAGGAGGGAAAGATAAAAGAAAGAGAAAGAAAGAAAAAGAAGGAATGAAAGAAACAAAGAAAGGAAAGAAGGAAAGAAAAAAGAAAAAAAAGAAAGACAGAAAGAAAGAAAGAAAGAAAGAAAGAAAGAAAGAAAGAAAGAAAGAAAGAAAGAAAGAAAGAAAGCTGCCGTGTTAAAAACTTCAGGATGTCGGCTTCAGGAAAGGGAAGTGAGCAGAGGAACTTCCTTGGCTGAGCCAAGGGAATGTTATTTTGCTCAAAGCTTGGAGGTTCCCTCCGCCTCTCCTGTTATTCTCATGCTATTATGTCCCCCGAGCAGGGAGCCGATGTATTTTGATAAGCCTGAACATCAGAAAACCAGAACTGAGAACCACAATGGCGTAAAATGAAAGCGACACCTTCTGAAAAAGGGTGTGTCTCCCACCTTCGGCACAGCCACAAACGCCTGGGCCCCGAGGTTGCCACAAGAGCGGTTCTCACCAGCTCCTGAGCATTCTCCCCAGAGACCCCACCCAGCCCTGCCCATTAAGAGGGACGCCTAGAACCGAGGTTCAGCCACATCTGCAAAGTCACAAGTTCCTCTCCGGCGGATTCTCTCCACCGTGGCCCACCTTAGTCCAGCGATGGCGAACCTTTTAGAGACCGAGTGCCCAAACTACAACCCAAAACCCACTTATGCATCGTCGGGGGCCGGGTGGGTGTGGCCCATTGGGTGGGTGTGGCCCATTGGGTGGGCGTGGCTGCGGTGGTAACGGCAGACTGGATGGGACTAAAAAGTTCAATCAATCAATTCCAACTTTGCAAGATCTATTTTTTCCCCGTGAGAAGTTGAAATTGACTGATTGATTGAAACTTTTTGGTTTTTTTGCACACGGCGGCGGAGGCCTAAAGCGAAAAGGTTTTATAAAACCCAGCTGAAGGCCTAGGACTGGGGCGACAGCGTGCGTGCCCACAGAGAGGGCTCTGCGTGCCGCCTCTGGCACCCGTGCCGTAGGTTCGCCACCACTGCCTTAGTCTGTGTTTTCCAGGCTGAAAGTCTTGCTCCTTAACCCAGTCTTTGGGGAAAAGTTATAAGAACCAGGCCAGCCGTCTAGTTCAGAGGCAAGCAGACATTTCCAAATCTCGTGGCTTCGCAGTTTTCCACCTCGCCAGACGTCTCGTGACCACAACCGTTGAAAATGGGGACCCTGGTGGTTTTGAGTCAGCACGCGCCA